GTCAGGGGCCCGAGACTGTTCAACTGCCTCCCAGCACACATAAGGGGGATTACCAACAGACCCCTGGCAGTCTTCAAGCTGGCACTGGACAAGCACCTAAAGTCAGTTCCGGATCAGCCGGGCTGTGGCTCGTATGTTGGTTTGCGTGCAGCCAGCAGCAACAGCCTGGTTGATCAGGCTCTGATCCACCAGGAGGCCTGGTCTCAGACCGGGCCGAGGGGGCGTTGACCCCCGGAACTCTCTCCAGGTAAACTCCAGGTAATACCTGGACAGAGTCAGAACAAGAAAGGAACGGCAGTATTTGTAAGAGACGGCACAAGGAATTAAAATCAGATGATATTATTGTTAAGATCCTATGATACTAATAATGGTTATAACAATAACAATAATTTTTAAAGTTATGGAGGGGTAAGCCAGTGGAAGGCCTCGGTCAGATGGCCAAAAGCTCCAGTTGTGGGTCATCATATGACATACACCCGCGTCAGGAAACACTTGTCCTGTTTCCTGACTAATCTTACCTAACCTAACCTGTGAAGACACTTCCGGATAAAGATAAATAGGGAGTAAACTCAGGAAGTAAAGAATTTTAGAAATAAGGGTCAGGTTATAAGAATACACTAAAATTAAATTAATTTCTTGTGATCCTTTACGTGTATCTTGCAATTAGAAGATAAAAATAAATACAATATTGACAATTTTGAAACATGTAGATCTCTCAAATTAAACTTAACCTGTTCCAGAGAGATTGTATGATCTATGATACGTAAAATATACGAACCCTTGAGATGTAGCTCAACCCTTGAGATGTAACTCAAAACTTGAGATGCAGCTCAACCCTTGAGACACAGCTCAAACCTTGAGATGCAGCTCAACCCTTGAGATGCAGCTCAACTCTTGAGATGTAGCTCAACCCTTGAGATGCAGCTCAACCCTTGAGATGCAGCTCAACCCTTGAGACACAGCTCAAACCTTGAGATGCAGCTCAACCCTTGAGACGCAGCTCAACCCTTGAGATGCAACTCAACCCTTGAGACGCAGCTCAACCCTTGAGACGCAGCTCAACCCTTGAGACGCAGCTCAACCCTTGAGATGCAGCTCAACCCTTGAGATGCAGCTCAACCCTTGAGACGCAGCTCAACCCTTGAGATGCAGCTCAACCCTTGAGATGCAGCTCAACCCTTGAGACGCAGCTCAACCTTGAGATGCAGCTCAACTCTTGAGACGCAGCTCAACCCTTGAGACGCAGCTCAACCCTTGAGACGCAGCTCAACCCTTGAGATGCAGCTCAACCCTTGAGATGCAGCTCAACCCTTGAGACGCAGCTCAACCCTTGAGATGCAGCTCAACTCTTGAGACGCAGCTCAACCCTTGAGACGCAGCTCAACCCTTCAAATTCGAATTCAAATTCAAATTCAAAGTTTATTCTCTATAAGGAATTTGGTTATTGTGTGGTTTACATGTAGTAAAATACTAATTACAGAGGGGGCCACTAGAACACCTAGCATGGCTAGGCATTTCGGGCAGACTTAGATTAATTCTTAAATTTAAAATATTACAAATTATGAGGTAAGTTGGTATTATGGCTAAGTGACTAAATACTAGTTTGTGAGTTTAGCAATGTGAATGCTTTTGTTTCAGTATTGGAGTATCACAGGCCAACTTATGACTAGTTAGGATTCATTATTTTAAGATTGAGATTGATATTTCTGTTTATGGTCAAATGGGTGAGGAGTGTAAGTGTTAACCACCAGGTGGTATTCGTGTAGTTAGTTGATGGGGTGTATCAGGGAGATAAGATGTTTTCTAATGGTAGTTTTGAAGGTGATGAATGTGTCTGCAGTTCTAGAGTTTTCAAGTAGGGTGTTCCAGATTTTAGGGCCTTTGACATACATTGAATTTTTGTAAAGGTTTAGTCGGACACGGGGAATGTCATAGAGATGTTTGTGTCTGGTGTTATGCCTGTGGGTTCTGTCACAACTATCAAGAAAGCATTTTAGGTCAAGGTTAATATTGAAATTTAAGGTCCTGTAGATGTAGATTGCACAGTAGTAAGTGTGGATGTACTGAACAAGGAGTAAGTTTAGATCTATGAAGAGTGCTGGGGTGTGTTGCCAGGGATGGGATTTAGTGATTATTCTTACTGCGGCTTTTTGTTGGGTTATTATTGGCTTTAGGTGTGTTGCTGCAGTTGATCCCCAAGCACAAATAGCATAGGTGAGGTATGGATAAATGAGTGGTATAGTGTGAGAAGGGCATTTTGCGGCACGCAGTATCGTATCTTGGAGAGGATCCCAACCGTTTTGGATACTTTTTTGGTTATCTGTTGGATATGGGTGCTGAAATTCAGGTTGTTGTCGAGGTACAGGCCTAGGAATTTGCCCTCATTATGTCTGGCAATTAGAGTGTTGTCGATCTTAATGTTAATTTGCGCAACTCCTGCTCTGCTACCAAACATAATATAGTAGGTTTTGTCAGTGTTAAGTGTAAGTTTATTGGCTGTCATCCAAGGCAATATTTTGATCAGCTCCTCGTTAACAATGGTGTTGAGGGTGGCAAGATTAGGGTGAGAGATGACATAAGTCGTGTCGTCAGCAAAGAGAATGGGTTTCAGGTGTTGGGATACGTTTGGAAGATCATTGATGTATATGAGGAAGAGCAGGGGACCAAAGACACTTCCCTGCGGAACTCCAGTATCAAGTGGCAGTGTTGTTGATGCTGTGTCTTTAATGGTGACACACTGATACCTATTAGTAAGGTAAGATTTGAAATATGCAAGCGCAAGATAAGATAAGATAAGATTTCGTTCTGATTTTTAACCCCGGAGGGTTAGCCACCCAGGATAACCCAAGAAAGTCAGTGCGTCATCAAGGACTGTCTAACTTATTTCCATTGGGGTTCCTTAATCTTGTCCCCCAGGATGCGACCCACACCAGTCGACTAACACCCAGGTACCTATTTGCTACTAGGTGAACAGGACAACAGGTGTAAGGAAACGTGTCGAAATGTTTCCACCCGCCGGGAATCGAACCCGGACCCTCCGTGTGTGAAGCGGGAGCTTTAGCCACCAGGCCACCGGGCCTGGTGCCCTCTTATACCATAATGATCAAGTTTGTGGAGTAGGATGCCGTGGTCTACTGTGTCAAAAGCTTTTCTTAGGTCAATAAAAATTCCTAGTGGATATTCCTTATTTTCCAATGCTGTGTAAAGCAGATCTAGCATTTTTATGATTGCATCATTAGTGCTTTTATTTTTCCTGAATCCAAACTGGCAGAGGTTGAGTATGTTTGTGTTGAGATGCAGCTTCTTACACTTCACTCATTTATATAATTTTTTTTTATGTGCATGTAATTATGAAATATAATTTTGAATATCTTGATATCATACTAATTTTGTTATAAATTTATTGGTCAGTATACCTTTATTTTTGGAAGAAGAAAGTATTGTTGATTATTTGCTAAGTTTGATTACCTAAGTTGCTTTATTTATAGAAATATTCACTCATGACTAATTTTTGCTCATTGATCAAGTTTGTGAGCATAATGATAATGTGGCTATGAACATTCTATTACGAACAATGAAACTCGAGAACATTCTATTACGAACAATGAAACTCGAGAACATTCTATTACGAACAATAAAACTCGAGAACATTCTATTACGAACAATGAAACTCGAGAACATTCTATTACGAACAATGAAACTCGAGAACATTTTATTACGAACAGTGAAACTCGAGAACATTCTATTACGAATAATGAAACTCGAGAACATTCTGTTACGAACAGTGAAACTCGAATTGATACGAATAATAATGTTTATATGAAGTTGTGTATCTTCAGTGCGACTTTTTCAAAAGTTTAAGTCACATGAAGACCTATACTACCTATAATTTACTCATATACTGTAAGGAGATGATTAAGTGTGGGGAAAATTGTTGTAATTTAGAGCAATTTAATATTGTAATAAGGAAGATATTACACACCTGGAAATATCCCTAACTAAAAATAAATATATGTCTAAAAGATACAACGTTAAGTGACGAGAGTAATAAAAAATGGCGGAGTGTATACATTAACTGGGGAGTGAGGAAGAATTTGATCGTGGGTCATCGAGGCCGATGGAAGGTGTATCGGCAAGAACTGGTGACCACGAAATGAGTGAATATAAGATGTATCTAGAAGGGTTCAGATACATTGTAATCTGGTCATAATAAAGCTGATAATGAAGATAGTAATGGACGTGGTGACGCTGACTTCCACGTGTATTAACAGGTAAGGTAGGTAGTTATTAGCCAATATTAGTGAACCTGCCGGTAGAGAGGTGTTAGAATATATCACCAAGATAATACCTTGGTAAGCAATTCATAAGTTTTTATTTATGCTCTTCACAATGTAATTGAACCACTTTATTATATTTCACAATGTAATTGAATCGCTGTGTTGTATAGTAATGCACGAGAAATTACTCAAGTCATACAATTTTTAATAAATATACAGTCCACAGATATAAAATAAGCTTGGTTTACTGGCTCGAAACTCTTTTATTAATCAATATTCAAGAATTATATGTTCAAAATTTCAGGTCCTGATATGTGATCTGAGTAGCTGAGACGTTGAACATTGAAGGAGGGACAATATCAGAGACTATTGTTGCTAAAGTTCCATATGTCTCCGAGGTACATTAATATCAGTAAGTTTGATCTGTTTCAGATGGGTCAGAATTCTCCCCAGTTATGTGGGTGACAGGATAATTCAAGACTGTACTTGTAAATATTTATCCACATATTTTTTTCTCAAGAGTAATTACGCATATAGAGCTTGAAACCAGAGCTTAATAATAAAAATTAGAAATATCGATAGAATACATTACATTGCCCTATTACGTAAACTATTCTATTCATGTCAGGTATAATATACGACAAAGTTGTTGCATCTATCAGCAATTTCCCATTAAGGATTATATCTTAAAAGTATGCAGGTGAGAGCATTAAAGAAACATACCAGGAAGTCACAACTGTACTTCAGATTTCTGTAGAGTCCTCCAACCATAGCAGCAAGATGGATGACGTGAGTTGGTCGGTACTTCTCAAAAACTGCACGAGTTTCAGCTTCAATCCTGTTTAAATTAAAGATTAAATACTTGAAAAGTCACACACACACACACACACACACACACACACAATACATAGTTTTAAGGCGAGGTATGATAAAGCTCATGGAGCAGGGAGAGAGAGGACCTAGAAGCAATCAGTGAAGAGGCGGGGCCAGAAGCTATGACTCGACCCCTGCAACCACAAATAGGTGAGTACAAATAGGTGAGTACACACACACACACACACACACACACAGCACCAGTTTGGAACCCACACCTGGTCAAACACGTCAAGAAATTAGAGAAAGGGCAAAGGTTTGCAACGAGGCTAGTTCCAGAACTAAGGGAAATATCCTATGAAGAAAGGTTAAGGGAAATCGGTCTGACAACACTGGAGGACAGGAGGGTCAGGGGAGACATGATAACGACATACAAAATACTGCGTGGAATAGACAAGGAGGACAGAGACAGGATGTTCCACAGATGAAACACAGAAACAAGGGGTTACAATTGGAAGCTGAAGACTCAGATGAGTCAAAGGGATGTTAGGAAGTATTTCTTCAGTCATAGAGTAGTTAGGAAGTGGAATAGTCTGGCAAGCGATGTAGTGGAGGCAGGAACTATACATAGTTTTAAGACGAGGTATGATAAAGCTCATGGAGCAGAGGGAGAGAGGACCTAGTAACGGTCGGTGAAGAGGCAGGGCCAGGAGCTGAGTCTCGACCCCTGCAACCACAATTAGGTGAATTAGGTGAGTACACAAAGCCAGGATGAGCCCATGGTTCACCCAAAGGTGCAAGGAGGCAAAAACCAAGTGTGCTAGGGAATGGAAGAAATAGAGAAGGCAAAGGACCCAGGAGAATAAGGAGAGCAGTCGTAGAGCCAGAAATGAATATGCACAGATAAGAAGGGAGGCCCAACGACAATATGAAAACGACATAGCAGCGAAAGCCAAATCTGACCCGAAGCTGTTATACAGCCACACCAGGAGGAAAACAACAGTCAAGGACCAGGTAATCAGGCTAAGGAAGGAAGGAGGAGAGACAACAAGAAATGACCGTGAAGTATGTGAGGAACTCAACAAGAGATTCAAAGACGTGTTCACAGAGGAGACAGAAGGGGCTCCAGAAAGCTGGAGAGGTGGGGTACACCACCAAGTGCTGGACACAGTGCACACAACCGAGGAAGAAGTGAAGAGGCTTCTGAGTGAGCTAGATACCTCAAAGGCAATGGGGCCAGATAACATCTCTCCATGGGTCCTGAGAGAGGGAGCAGAGGCGCTATGTGTACCCCTAACAACAATATTCAATACATCTATCGAAAGAGGGAGATTGCCTGAGGCATGAAAGACAGCAAATGTAGTCCCAATCTTTAAAAAAGGAGACAGACATGAAGCACTAAACTACAGACCAGTGTCACTGACATGTATAGTATGCAAAATCATGGAGAAGATTATCAGGAGAAGAGTGGTGGAACACCTAGAAAGGAATGATCTCATCAACAGCACCCAACATGGTTTTAGGGACGGGAAATCCTGTGTCACAAACCTACTGGAGTTCTACGACATGGTGACAGCAATAAGACAAGAGAAAGTGGATTGCATTTTCTTGGACTGCAAGAAGGCGTTTGACACAGTTCCACACAAGAGATTAGTGCAAAACCTGGAGGACCAAGCAGGGATAACAGGGAAGGCACTACAATGGATCAGGGAATACTTGTCAGGAAGACAGCAGCGAGTCATGGTACGTGGCGAGGTGTCAGAGTGGGCACCTGTGACCAGCGGGGTCCCCAGGGGTCAGTCCTAGGACCAGTGCTGTTTCTTGTATTTGTGAACGACATGACGGAAGGAATAGACTCCGAAGTGTCCCTGTTTGCAGATGACGTCAAGTTGATGAGAAGAATTCATTCGATCGAAGACCAAGCAGAATTACAAAGGGATCTGGACAGGCTGCAGACCTGGTCCAGCAATTGGCACCTGGAGTTCAACCCCACCAAGTGCAAAGTCATGAAGATTGGGGAAGAGCAAAGAAGACCGCAGACGGAGTACAGTCTAGGGGACCAGAGACTACAAACTTCACTCAAGGAAAAAGATTTTGGGGTGAATTTAACACCAGGCACATCTCCTGAAGCGCACATCAACCAAATAACTTCTACATATATTGTGCACCCCATGCTCATCCTACATATATTGTGCACCTCATGCTCATCCTACATATATTGTGCACCCCATGCTCATCCTACATATATTGTGCACCCCATGCTCATCCTACATATATTGTGAACCCCATGCTCATCCTACATGTACTGTGTACCCCATGCTCATCCTACATATATTTAACACTTCTCAGTGCTTCAAAAACGTAGCGTTTATGCGAGTTGCAATGTGGTGGGTCGTCATGTGACTGAGACCCTCGTCAGGAAGTACTTGTCTATATATGTATATATGCTATATTACAGGATATAGGAAGGTAGGTGTCTTGTTCTACCTGGGACCCACAACTTCAGTAGGTCTCTAGTTCTACCTGGGACCCACAGCTTCAGTAGGTCTCCAGTCCTATCTGGGACCCACAGCTTCAGTAGGTCTCTAGTTCTACCTGGGACCCACAACTTCAGTATGTCTCTAGTTCTACCTAGGACCCACAACCTCAGTAGGTCTCTAGTTCTACCCGGGAACCACAACCTCAGTAGGTCTCTAGTTCTACATGGGACCCACAACTTCAGTAGGTCTCTAGTTCTACCTAGGACCCACAACCTCAGTAGGTCTCTAGTTCTACCTGGGACCCACAACTTCAGTATGTCTCTAGTTCTACCTAGGACCCACAACCTCAGTAGGTCTCTAGTTCTACCCGGGAACCACAACCTCAGTAGGTCTCTAGTTCTACCTGGGACCCACAACTTCAGTAGGTCTCTAGTTCTACCTGGGACCCACAACTTCAGTAGGTCTCTAGTTCTACCTGGGACCCACAACTTCAGTAGGTCTCCAGTCCTATCTGGGACCCACAGCTTCAGTAGGTCTCTAGTTCTACCTGGGACCCACAACTTCAGTATGTCTCTAGTTCTTCCTGGGACCCACAACTTCAGTAGGTCTCTAGTTCTACCTGGGACCCACAACTTCAGTATGTCTCTAGTTCTTCCTGGGACCCACAACCTCAGTAGGTCTTTAGTTCTACCTGGGACCCACAACTTCAGTATGTCTCTAGTTCTACCTAGGACCCACAACCTCAGTAGGTCTCTAGTTCTACCTGGGAGCCATAACTTCAGTAGGTCTCTAGTTCTACCGAGGACCCACAACCTCAGTAGGTCTCTAGTTCTACCTAGGACCCACAACCCCAGTAGGTCTCTAGTTCTTCCTGGGAGCCATAACTTCAGAGAAGACAAACTTAGGGTAAAATCTAGAGGTTTCTACCCAAAGGTGCTGAGTATTTTCTTCCCCTACCAGTCCCTCTCACTATATACGAATAGTATTAGTTTCAAAAACTTTTAATGATGCACTAGTTTTATGCATTTATTCGTGGGATAAATAGAACAAAATCAAAATGTTTCATACCTCTTAAATTGTAAATAAATAATGTTGAATATAATAATGTTGTCACTTACGATAGATCAGCATCTTTGGAGCTGAGGAAAATCCACTTTTCATCAGTACATTTATTTTGTTGCACAATAGTTTGTATGGCATGACCGACCCCGCCGGAGCCTCCAGTCACCAGCACCACCATCTCTGTCTTGCCTGACATACTCACCTGAAACTAATGTTCTCCAGTGAGTTACTATGATATAAACTGGTTTATTGGGTTTAAAGCTTATCGACTACATAAAGGTCATTAAAGCTGGATGTCACCTGTACATTTATCCCTAAATTAGGGTTTTAAGAAAACAAAGTATTCAGTATATACACTGAGAGATGCTCATCTCTCAGTGTATATATACACAGAAAGGTACAAGCCTCTCAGAGTATATTTAGTGACAGATATATTTTATAACATTATCTGCAAAAAAAAAAAATAAATAAATAAAATAAGGGTTAAATAATACTCATCCTAATAATGAAAATAATTATAAGTATTCTCCACAAGGATTTATAAAGTGATTTATAATGCAAATTTTCACAAAAATATTGAATATCTGTAATTATGTGGTTGTAAATAAAGAAGCAGATTTAGGCCTACGGTGTCCCTGCTTTAATATGTAGTTATACGTATTTTAAAAAAGATTGAGTGGTTGTAGCAGAGCATCAGTGTACCAGTGCTCGCAGAGAACTATGTTCTACTGTTCTTTGTTCACTTCTCAATTTGCAACTGTCGACTCTCCAGTGTTCTTTTATTAGTGCTAAAAATTATCATTTTCTCTTTTTATCTCTTTGTTATCACTTTATCTAAAACACATATTCTCTGTATACTTCATTATCATCCATATTTTTCCTCTTTTCCTTTATAATATATTATGTGATCTCGGTTCCCACACATCTTAAAAATAAAGATTATAATTGTTTTGAGAGTCACCTGAACACTAGATGTGTTTCAGTGGCTACATTATTTAAGAGAGGTATCCCTGGTATCCCTGGTACCCCTGGTATCCCTGGTATCCCTGGTATCCCTGGTATCCCTGGTATCCCTGGTATCCCTGGTATCCCTGGTATCCCTGGTATCCCTGGTATCCCTGGTATCCCTGGTATCCCTGGTATCCCTGGTATTCCATGACTCCAGCCGTCATAGCTAAGATACTCAACACTTGCTGCTGGACTCACCGACTCATTACCTCCTCTTCTATCTCGTCAAACTTCTTGTTTTTTAGTGTTTTAGATTTTTAATATTTTTCACAAAAAAAAACAACTCTGCAACATGCATTGCCCAATAAAAATTAAGTAATTACAGCAGACTAAACAGCCCCTGACTTACAAACAGTATCCTCAGATCTATTGATAAAATACATCTATATGAAAAAGAGTACACATTGGGTCTAATAACAAAGGATTTTTCAAATGTTACTCAACTATGTTAACCAATCTAATAAGGAGGTCAAAAAAAAAACTGTATTATGAAAACATATTTCATGACATAAAAGTGATATGAAAAACGACTTGGAAAACCTTATCTGAAATTCTAGGATCTAAAAAGCTGTCGCAAAACAGAATGACTAACTTAACTAAACCAGATGAACCTCTCCTTCAGCCAACCGATACTGCCAACAAACTTAATGTCTTTTTCTCTACCGTAGGAACAAAACTAGCAAGTAAAATCCCAAACACAAACATTCAGCCAAAGACTAGCTCACTGGCAACTACCCAAATACTCTGTTTTTAGCCCCAACAAACCCTACTGAAATCTCGCTCATCATAAAAACACTGAAGAACAAGACAGGGGACCTAAATAACTTACCACTGCTCATGTATAAAAGAGCTTCTCATGTGTTGTCACAAATTATCGCAACTGTTTTTAACAAATCAATTGAATCTTCCACCTTCCCATTAATAACAAAACAGCAAGAGTTACTGTGAATGATTCTTTTAATCTCATGTTGAGCTACTCATAAACTTCAAAGTCGTTTCATGTAAACTCCCCTCCTTCCTTCCTCAGTCTGATTACCTGGTCTTTGACTGTTGCTTTCTTCCTGATGTGACTGTACAACAGCATCTGGTCAGGCTTGGCTTTCGCTGCTATGTCACTTTCGAATTGCTGTTAGGTCTTTCTTACCTGTGCATATTCATTTCTTGCGCTTCGGCTACTTTCCTTGTTCTTCTAGGTCCTCTGTATTCTATACATCTTCCATTCTCTAGCATATAAAAAAGACCTGGAAAACACTTTCCCAGATTCTAGGGACCCACAAACTAAAAAAACAAGAATATTGTCCTAACTAAACCTAATGATACACCACTGCATCCCACTGATACAGCTAACAAGATAAACGACTTCTTCTCAACCATAGGATCTAACCTCGCCAGTAAAATCCCACGTACCAACACTCGTGCCGAGGACTACCTAGATGAAAGTTTCCCAAATTCATTCTATCTTGTACCAACTGAGCCCACGGAAGTCACTGCGATTATAAAGTCACTTAAAAATAACTCAGGGAATCTGTCTCACGTCCCACCATTATTGTACAAGCGAGCGGCCCATGTCCTTTCACATGCTATTACATTAGTTTTTAACAAGTCACTAGAAACTAGAACTTTCCCGACACTACTCAAGACAGCGAGGGTTACACCAGTACATAAAGGTGGTGACCCTACATATTTAAACAACTATAGGCCAATATCAAACTTACCATTGCTATCCAAAATCTTCGAGAAACTCGTGCACAGGAGACTATATTCATTTATAACGGCACAAAACATACTCTACCCCTGGCAATTTGGATTCAGGAAAAATAAAAACACTAATGATGCAATTGTACAAATGCTAAATCTGGTTTACACAGCATTGGAAAATAAAGAATATCCACTAGGAATTTTTATTGACCACGGCATCCTACTCCACAAACTTGACCATTATGGTATAAGAGGCCATGCACCTGCATATTTCAAATCCTACTTTACTAATAGGTATCATTATGTCACCATTAAAGACACAGCCTCATCAACACGGCCACTTGATACTGGAGTTCCGCAGAGAAGTGTCCTTGGTCCCCTGCTCTTCCTCATTTACATCAATGATCTTCCATACGTATCCCAACACCTGAAACCCATTCTCTTTGCTGACGACACGACTTGTCATATCCCACCCTATTCTTGTCACCCTCAACACCATTGTTAACGAGGAGCTGTTCAAAATATCGACTTGGATAACAGCCAATAAACTTACACTTAACACTTACAAAACCTACTACATTATGTTTGGTAGCAGATCAGGTGTAGTGCAAATTAACATTAAGATCGACAACACTCTAATTGCCAGACATAATGAGGGCAAATTCCTAGGCCTATACCTCAACAGCAACCTGAATTTCAGCACCCATATCCAACACATAACAAAAAAAGTATCCAAAACGGTTGGAATCCTCTCCAAGATACGATACTACGTGCAGCAAACTGCCCTTCTCACACTATACCATTCACTCATTTATCCATACCTCACCTATGCTATTTGTGCTTGGGGATCAACTGCACCAACACACCTAAAGCCAATAATAACACAACAAAAAGCCGCAGTAAGAATAATCACTAAATCCCATCCCTGGTAACACACCCCTCCACTCTTCATAGTCTAAACTTACTCCCTGTTCAGAACATCTACACTTACTACTGTGCAATCTACATCTACAGGACCTTAAATTCCAATATTAACCTTGACCTAAAACGCTTTCTTGATAGTTGTGACAGAACCCACAAGCATAACACCAGACACAAACATCTCTATGACATTCCCCATGTTCGACTAAACCTTTACAAAAATTCTATGTATGTCAAAGGGCCTAAAATCTGGAACACCCTACCTGAAAACTCTAGAACTGCAGACACATTCATCACCTTCAAAACTACCGCTAGACAACATCTTATTTCCCTGATACACCCCGACAACTAACTACATGAAAAACCACCTGGTGGTTCACACTTACACTCACTCTCCCACTTGTCTATAATCACGGAAATACGAATCTTAATCATAAAATAATGAATCCTAACTAGTCATAAGTTTGCCTGTGATTCTACAATATAGAACCTGTGTATTGTGCCAAAACAAAAGCATTTACATTGCTAAACTCACAAGCTATAATGTAGTCACTTAGCCTTAATACCAACTTACTCCATAATCTACATTAATTTAGAGTTAAGAATTAATCCAAGTCTGCCCGAAATGCCTAGCCATGCTAGGTGTCCTACTGGCCCCCTATGTAATTAGTATTTTATAACATGTAAACCACACAATATCCAAAACCTGAAAAACCCCACATTGTAATCTTTATAGAGAATAAACTTGATTGATTGACTGATTGATAATTAGTTTTAGCTCTCTATAACTCTGCGTGAACCAAGGGCTCGTTTTGCCCGTCTCATATGTCTGTTGCCCTTCCCTGCTAACCTCTCCTCTGCTTCATTTGATATTGTCGAATATTCCATCATCATTTACTGTTTCCTCTCCCAGTTCTCTGTCCCACTGGACCTCGTGCATGAAATTCTTCATGCCTGTGTAGTTCCCTCTCTTGTAGTTTGGGTTCATTCTTCCTGCCCTTCCTGCCTCCCTCTCCACTTGTAACTCTACTATTTATTCGAGACTTCGAACCACGTGATCACTAGCTCCGAAGGGATTTCAGATGTGATGTCCACAATATCTGCACTGCTTAAGGTGAATGCTAAATCCAGTTTTGTTGGATCGTCCTCTCCTCTCTCTCTCTCTCTGGTAGTGTCCCTAACGTGTTGATGCATGAGGTGTTCTAGTTCTACCTCCATCATCTTTGCCCTCCATGTTTCTGGGCCCCCATGTGGCTCCAAATTTTCACAGTAGATTTCTTTGTGAATGAAGTCACCCACAACTAGTAGCTTTGTCCTGCTCTCATGAGCCCTTCTGGCCACTTCAGCCAGTGTATCAACCATCCCTCTGTCACTCTCATCATATTCCCGTCTGTGGTGGGTTATACATCACTGCAAACACCACCTTGGGACCTCCAGTCTGAAGTGTTTCTATTGTGTAGTCCCTTGCTTCTTCTCTGTCCCCTCTCTCCAACTCCTCAAAATCCTATTGGTTTTTGATGAGCAGTGCCACACCTCCTACCCCTCCAGTGTTCCCTCTGTCTTTCCCCAGAAGCT